AGAGTTTTAATCGAAAGATCTTACTTTTAGAGGCTTACCTACAATTAGCAATTCTGATTATGTTAGCGACCGAACTACATATGTTGAATTGAGAGCGTTAAGACCCGACCGTAGGCTTAGCAATTGCTCTAGATTATTGATTGATTGAATTGTTATTGATATTTGATAGATTTAGACCTAGAAACATGGTGAACCATAACCGTAGGTCTTTTTATTTATCATTTTTTCCCTCTTTTAATTTAGACTATTTTTCTATCCCAATTTCGTGACATAGTTTAGTTTCTCCATACCTTAGAAGTTAGATTGAATAACCATCTCTTTGTGGATTCGACCCTACTTACCCTACTACATTGTTAGTTGGTTTTGTTAGGAATTTATTTTTGACTTTGTACGACAACCTATCAGGATCACATACAAAAATTCTCACCCTGCCGGTGGGTTAGAAAATTAAACCCACCGGCGGGATATACACAAATTTTTTATGCTTCCGCAAACACACACATATAGATTTTTTTTTTCTTTTCTCAAAGTTTTTTTTTTTAAAAAAAATCTTTATGTAGCCTTGTGCCTCCCACTAACAGTAGCAACCGCGAAAGCCTCCTCCATCATTGGTGGCAATTGCATACATTACCGCCTCCCAATACTGGCAGTAACCACATCTGCCAACCTACTCCATGTGCCACACTCTATTTCCACCTCCTCATGACCAACAATGATTCTTACATTGCCTCATTGGTTTTTCTACACAAAATCACATAGATTTTTTTTTGTGGTGGTATATCACAATAAGGTAAACTTTTGCACATCTCTTTTTCTATCAAGTTAGCTCCTCTTATTATTGCAGCACTTGGAATCTTTGTGGAGTATTAATTCTTGCTACCTGGTTTCTCTTTTGAGAATTGATTAATTTCAAGCGGTGGAATTTAATCTTTTCTTGCGCAATTTTATTTGTTTTTCTTCAACTGTGATTTCACGTAGTGTTGTAGTGTCTTCTCCCCGATGATGGTTTGATCCCTTAACTTATTCTTCTCTTAATCTGTAACTTGGCCCAAGTATATGTGTGACTCTTCTCCTTTGGCCTAAAAGCGCATATCTCTACTATACGTAGGTCGTGGTTGTTGCTTCTCATCGTCATCACCAACATACGTCTACTACTTCTCTTTTGATCATGGGTTACTATACTATCCTTACCGTTCGATGCGTGATTCAGATCCAGTCTGAGCATCCAATTTTCTCCCGCTCTGACTGCGGGGGTTTGATAGAAAATATCCATAGAATATTCTCATCTTAGGTTTAAGATATATTTTGTATAAGATTATCTTTGATATCTGTACAGATCTTTTTGTTACCTAATATAATTAGGTTTCTCATTGTAACCCTATAAATATTGATCAATAGAAATCACTCTAATTAAAGAGCTTATATTATCTGACATATTATTAAATCTTTTTCAAAAAAGCTATTTCAAACAACACTTTACTAAACATCCCAACCAGCTTTTTAAAATGATCCAACAACTTAAAAGCTCCTAACGAAACACTCTTAGTTTTTTGTTTGTTTTTTTTTTTTTTGTTTTTTTTAACCTGCAGCTAACACTTTGCAACGCTTTTTTCATGAATTCTCTCTTCTTACACTTTCTTGGGTGACATCGTTATATAATCAATAAATAAATCTTTCTCCTTATACTTAAATAACCAATCATTACACCTCTTTCAAATATCGTCAAACACCATCATCTAATTAAGATAAAGTTATACGAAATGATCCAATAAGATAATTTCGGATTTCTTATGTGACAACACATTCACTTTCCAAGCTTTTACTTGGGAATTATTAGCTAATAAAAAACCGAGAATTATAATATCAATACAAGGAAGATCTAACAGAGAATTAGCTGAAAAGTCGATTTTCGAGAGAAAGAGTAAGTAGTGTTGGGAATACCACAATAGCTTTTAGTGTTGTTGTCGTTTTCTCGGCAACGAACAACAATTTCAATGGAGAGGATTCATTGCTATAGACATTGGTGGGTTAATCATCAATAGAAACAATGGATTTAATGGCATCATAAAGACAATGGTTGTAATTTTCCAATATTTCTTTCCTATCTCTTGCTCAATGAATTGATGTAGATTAGTCTACAAGTTGCAAATATTACAAAAATGCCCTCGTGCACCTTGTATGAGCTAAACTAAACATGGCACGTTAATGTTTAGTTATTCGTGGACTCTTGATGCAACATAGTTTTAATTTTAACTAGATGAAGCCCGTGCGATGCACGGTTTGTTAGTATTTTTTTAAGAAAATATTTTTCATATTTATGTGATTTTTGTTACTACGTATTATATTAGCTTTAAAATAGGAAAAATTGCTCCCATTAATCTGAACTTTGCCTCGTCCGCCGAAATTAATCCCAACTTTCGTTTATTATCTATCACTCCCAACTTTAGGGGGTATTAATTTCTATTGCACCCAATTTACCTGAAACCGGTTAATCAGGTTAACATTTGTGAATTAATTTATTTTGCACACGTGTCAATATGTAGTTGGTTGGAAAAAAAAAGAAAAAAAAAATAATTTCCTAAAACTAATCCAGCACTTGCCCCACCTCCACCACCACACCACCACCACTAGCGCACACTCTCCCTTCACGCAGCCCAGCAGCAAGCCACCACACGCACTCCCTTCGCCACCAGCCACCACACGCACTCCCTTCACCCACCACAACCGAAAACCCATCACAACCCCCTCACCAAATCGACCACCACAATGGCCGAAAATGGCCAACCACCACCGCACCACCGCACGACTGTTTCCCCACCATAAAACAACCCCCTTCCCCAAAATCGACCACCAAAATTGGCCACAAATGGCCGAAATCAGTCGATAATGGGCCTGAATGGTTGATTTCAACCCTTTATCGGCCGATTTCGACCATTGGTGGCTGATTTCGTCGCCGTTTTTGTAGTGTTTCGAATGTTAGGGTTAAGGGTTAGGATTTGGGGATTTTGAGTGGTTTGCAAGGTGATTGAAGAGGAAAGGGGAGGTGGTTTGCAAGGTTGTTGCTGGTGGTCGTGGTTGCAACGGGAAGTTGGTGGAAGGGAAAGGGAAGCAGGGAGGTTGGTGGAGTACGTGTGTGAAGTGCGCAAGGGGAAGGGGAAGGGGAAGCGGGGAGGTGGGCTGGGAGGCGGCGATACGGAGGTGGGGGAAGGGGAGGTAGTGCTGCCGCCGGCGGGTGGCCGTGAGGGAAGGGATGTGGGGAGAAGGGAGGAGAGAGAAGGTGTTTTTTTTATTTAATTTTATTTTTTTTAACTTTATTTATTTATTTTAATTTTAATTTTATTTTTTTAAGCGAATCACATGCTGACACGTGTCTAGGTAACTTGCTACATCAGGTTGGGTGACCTGTTGGGTGCAATAGAAATTAATACCCCCTAAAGTTGGGAGTGATAGATAATAAACGGATGTTGGGATTAATTTCGGCGGATGAGGCAAAATTCAGATTAATGGGAGCAATTTTTCCTTTAAAATATTAGATAAAATTTCTAATCTCAAAAGATAATATTTTGTATTTAATTAATTTAAACTTTAAAATTTCATTCGTCAATTTTGCTAACGTGGCATTTGAATTATTTAATTGTAAAATAAATTAATAATCTCTTATTTAATTGGCTACAACTTAAATTCATAATCCTACATGGCGCGCTAAGAAAAATAAATCCTACGTGGCTCTCTAAAAATTCGGGGAAAAACTTCCCTTTATATATATATATATATATATATATATATATATATATATATATATATATATATATATATATATATATATATATATATATATACTAGTTTTGTGCCCGTGCGATGCCCGGGTTGTTTATTGAATTTTAAGATAAATTTTTAACTATATGTCAAATTTTAAAACATATCATTGATACAAAATTAGTTAGGAATTGATGTGTTTTTGTGATGATTTAAACTATATAGTAGGCATGTAATGACTAATAATAATATTGGTGAAAAACATTTCTTGACCCGTAACCTGAAATAATAAAGTATATTGTTTAAATTGATTAGAATATATTATAAATAATGGATGTGGTGCATTTTGAGCTAATTCCTTCGCTCCAAAAAAATACTATGATACAAAAAATAAATTTATATGATAATTTATGAGTGTTATATTTTTTTTTTTAATAAATTATAATTTAATTTGTACATATGAAATATTGCTACTTTATCGAAAATAAAACTCTAAATTAATAATTTTATCCTAAAATTCTATCCAAATTTGATTGAAAATACAATCATATCATATAACTAATATATAAAGCTAAACTTTTAGCCAGGTCACGAGACAGCGACACTAGGCGTTCTAACTTTTCGCCAAGTGTCGCCCCACGTTGGATATATTTAAATAGACCTCATAAAATAAAAAAAGTTAATTTAGAATTCTATTTGGATAGAATTTTAGGATAATATTAGTTTTATTTTCAATAAAATACCAATATTTCAAATGTACAAATTCAATTATAATTCTAACAAAATTATTAGATTATAATTCTCAAAAATTATCAAATAAATTATTTTTTATATCATAATATTTTTTTGGACAAAGAAAGAGTTAAAATCATAAAACATAGATTTATAATATATACTAATCGGTTAAAATAATATAATTCACAATCTAGCAAATCTTATAAAGATTAAAAATTTATTCTAAAATTCAATAAACAACCCGGGCATTAAAACATAGATTTATTCTAAACTAGTTCTAAATTAACTTTTTTATAACTCTACCCTACGTGGCGTGACATTTGGCGAAAAGTTGGAATGCCAAGTGTTGTTATCTCGTCGTCTGGCTAAAAGTTTAGCTTTATATATTAGTTATATGATTAGATGATTAGATTTTATGTGGTGCAACATTTACTGAAACGTTCTCGTGACCCGAATAATCCAAATTATTTTAAGATTTGTGGATCTAGGGTATAAATGTAACACAAAGCACACGGGCTCTACCAAAAGTATTCTTCTGCTGCTACAACCTCTGGGCTTTTGCCTTAGCGTTGCTTGTTTTGGAGACAGCATTACAAGAAGAACTCTCTAGAACACCGTCGCACACAACAGAGTGAGCGAAAACGATGTCGTACGACGAACGATACGAAGGAAACGGCGAAGAAAACGGCTCGCCGGCGCAGCAATACAGCGGCGGTCACGGCGGTGCCGCCGATAATCACCACGACTCCAAATCACTGGTATATATAAATATATATATATATATATTTTTTTTTTTTTCATTTACATAATTTAATTCTCTTTTATTCGAATTAGGGTTTTTTAAATTGATCTTCAGAAATCCTTAGGGTTTAGTGATTTTTGTTGTCAGTTTGATTGATGATTAAATTAAGGTGAATTATAAGCGTTACTGAATGAATTAAACCTTCAATTTATATTGCCGACTTTGCCAGATTCTGGTAATTGTTGTTTATTAGGGTTCGTGTTTTTACATTAATTCGAAATATTAGTGAAATTTATGAGAAAGAATTATGCTTTAGTGGAGACTGGAATTAAAATTAAGGATTCATGGATATTGAATGGAGCAAAGAAGGATGCTTTGTTTGAAATCTCGTGGTTTTGCGCGTCGATTGAGAATAGAATGAGTAGTTCAGCCTTAGCAGAGTGTGGATTGTTGAAAAGGTAGCTTGGTAGTTGAGTTTGAAGCTATTTAGCAGAACAAATTGCTCCCATGTTTGTAATTTATGATGTCGTCATGCGTACTATACTATTTTGGAAAGTTTGGAAAAAACTATCGCATTTCCTGTATGACTGGATTATGTTGTTAGACTATCGAACATGACCCTAGTTAGATAGATGGAGAGGGGATGGCTATGAGACCATTATTATAGCTTTATAGGTATCTTAGTGGAATAAGCCAATTAGAGATGATCCCTTATGGCCTTATGGGGTTGTGATCGTGTGACGATTCCTGATGGCGGGTATATCAGTTTGAGTTTTTGACTAAACGGCCTAAAGGATATTCTGCAAGTTGCCAACATGATGTTGTTGTCTGATTAGTTCTTACAGTTTGATTTTCTCAGCAAAGATGGGGTGGAATTCCATATGCCTTTTGTATGTACTATGTAAGGAGGAATTTTAGACTCTTTGCATTTTAATAATAAGATAGATTTTGCAAGATATTTTGGTTAGTAGATGCTACACTAGTAATGGTGTATTGAGTTGGTATATTCTTCTTTTGATTTTGGTATTTCTCATGGTATACTGAAATCTACCTATTTTTATCTGAGCAATACGGTTAATTTGCATTCTAATTGTTTGGAACTGCCAGTTGAATGGATGGTTTCATCGTCTAATTTTGTAGAACTTTTATGGACTGTTTGTTGCTTTGAATTTTTGTAGACATTCTTGTACTTTATGTATGAAATTTTCTAACCATAACATTTTTACAGCATGAGTCACAAAGTCATGAGGAGTCTACAAGAAGCAGGGAAATGGAAAGGGATAAGGATAGAGACAAAGATAGAAAGAGGGAGAGGGAGAGGGAGAGGGAGAGGGACAGGGATAGAGACAAAGACAGAGACAGAGATAGAGACAAAGATAGAGACCGAGAAAAGAGTAGGGATAGGGACAAAGATAAAGATAAAGATAAAGATAGAGACCTAGAAAAGAGTAGGGACAGAGATAGGGACAGAGGAGAGCGTGATCGCCATAGGGATCGCCACAGAGAAAGGAGTGAGAGAAGGGGGCGGAGCAGGGATGTGGTAGATGAAGATTATCGCCACAGTAGTCGAGATCGTGACAGGTAAAGGTTTAAACTGTTAAGCCTAAGTGTGTGAATCTGAATATCAAGTTACTGGTTTCCTTCAAATGTCATTAGTAATGTTTTTACCCTGTTCATTTATCTCATAAAATTTGGATGCAATCATATTTGTAGACGAAGAGATTATGACGATGACCGAGAGGATAGGCATAGACGAAGTTCTCGATCTCATTCTAGGGCCAGATCTCATCATAAATCAAGATCACGCTCTCGTTCAAGGTCAAGATCACGTTCACGTTCTAAGAGGTAATGTTTAGATTTGTGGCGTTTATTGTATTCTGTACTGTTGTGGGTTTCAAGCTGATGTGTGCTGATAATTGTTAGCCTGCATTTTGATTAGCTAAAACCAGTAGCTAGGTGCCTAGGGTGTCAATATTATAATTATTATTATTTGTGTGTGTGTGCTTGCTAGTGTGTGTTGGTTGGAAGGGTAGCCGTATCAGGTTACCTCAATGTGAAGCCAATCATCTCTTTTTATACTATTGGATGATGTTTTGTGCATGTCCTCGTTTATCTTTTTGAATGTACTAGGCTTTTTCATTACTATATTAAAGTCAGTTAAGAGTTTGCGTCTCTTATGTTAAGTAATTGGTGACACTAGCCATTGACAATATGAGTTTTTAGGGCAGGCATATATTCAAAGCTTTTCACTTTGGTCTCTTTTGCTTTAAGGAAGATGCTATTGTTTGGTTTATGAATCCATTTTCTGACTATACATATTATTCACCGTACTTTGAAGTTGTGCGGCCAAGTTTACAATTCTCATTTGATCATTAGATTCTCATTTGTTATACGGAAATAACTAGAATTCTATACTCTTGAGAATGATTGCAATTCATGAATAGTACTCTGCGGGTGACAGCATGAGTAAGCTTTATATATGAGATATACATATTGATTCTAATTGGCTTTTGATGGTTGTAAGCAGTAGTCATAGTCTTGTTTTGAGATTTGTATGATGCCATAATAAGGTTTTGCTTTTGTGACCTCTTATGTCTTGACGAAGTTCTTAGTTCTAATGCTCTTTATTATCTGCTGCTATTTCTTCTACATTGATATGGGAAAGAAGTTGTGCTTGTATGTATACAAATGGTCCTTATATTTATTTATTTATTTTTATTTTTATTTTTAATGCACTTTATGGATTAAAGTGTGTATATGATCTTGTTTCTAGGTTTTAGTATATTGTTAAGATCCTTGTGTGCAAATTTGTTTTGGCTGGCTAACTCAGTATCTCTAGTTGCGTGATAAACATTAATGCCTTGTTACTGATGGACAAGATGGTACATATATTGTTTTTCCTGATGGTATATCGTGTCTTCCTATTGACTATTACTGTGTGCTAGCAGTAAAAGGATCAGCGGATTTGACATGGCACCACCAGCTGCGTTGATGACTGCTCCTGCTATTGGAGGTCTGACTATCTACCTTTACTTTGAACATAGATTTGTGTTTATAACTGTTGCTTTTTTTTTTTTGTTTGCTTTAGTGTGGAAACTTCATACCAAATTACATGCTTTCATTGGGTAAGCTTATTCATCCACTTTATATTTGCTATATTGAGCCTGGTGGAGTGTTTGCAGATGGGCGGTAGTGAGTTTTTTATTCTTCACTTTTTTATATATTTAGTTAAATAACTCTGGAACTGAAAGATGTTTTTCGTTTGTTCTTGTCTTGGTGTTTGTTTCTTGTTTGTGTCTTTTGTTTTGTTGTAAGAAGGTAATGTTGGGCTACTTGCCCCACTGTGCTGACATTGGGTGTGAGCCGACTTCTGTAGCTTTAATGTACAAGGAAGAACCAATGCTCAGGTTGGGTTTTGTTCATCTTTAACTGGCGCCTTATGCGTGTTTCTATAGTCTTTATTATTAATTCTTGCAAATAGATCTGCCTTCTGCGATTTCTACTTTCGTCAAACTTCTATAGAAAAGATAGCGAACATGTAGATAGGGAAGTTTTATATTCGAAAGGATGTCAATATCAACTTATGAAAAATCGAATCGAATGTGTTTTTCTTTTTATTTTTATCTAACAGAAGGATATTGTTTTTTTTTATTATGACTACCAATGTATGTGGTGCCTCTATAGAAATATGACAGTTTTGTACTCAATACAGGCCCAGTTACGACAGCTTCTGTTCCTGGGGTATTTCCCAACATGTTTCCTTTATCATCAGGGCCGGTATGTATCTTGTTTGAAAAGTTATATTAATGTGTAGTTTTTCTACCCTTTTCTCCTCATTTGTATCTTGTTTTGTAGATGCAGCTTGGAACTCTCCCTATCATGCCTGTACAAGCAATGACTCAGCAGGTGCGTTGTGAATTTTGTGATGTTTTTGATATCTTGTCATTAGCTCATGCCTCATCGTTCTATACACCTTAAATTTGATGATTGGATTGAAATACACAGGCTACTAGGCATGCTCGGCGTGTTTATGTTGGAGGATTACCTCCAGAAGCTAATGAACAGGTTTCCTATCTTCACTATTGTCATCTTGTTCATCCTTTATCTCCATGCTACTATAATTTGATTATAATCTTCTCTTATTTTTGTTCTGCTGCAGTCTGTGGCTATCTATTTCAGCCATGTTATGGCCTCAATTGGAGGAAATACTGCAGGCCCAGGTAGGAAATCAATGGACAATGAAAGTTACTAGTATTTTGTCTCGATGGTTAGATTTTTAATTTTGATTGATAAATCATATTATAACTCGTGCATATTCAGGTGATGCTGTGGTTAATGTGTATATTAATCATGAAAAGAAGTTTGCTTTTGTGGAGATGAGATCTGTGGAGGAAGCTAGTAACGCTATGGCGCTAGATGGTATTATATTTGAGGTAATTTATCTGCCTTTCTTTATTTACTTTTATTGTACTGGTTCTGGTATCCATGTGGGGCTCATTGTGTTTCTTTTATTACAAGAAGAAGTGGAACTCTTTATGTATGTTTGTTTGTGTGAGTGTTGGGCAGGGGAGAGGTGTTGTATATTGATTGTACTACTCACTCTTGAGCACATTTTATGTTCTTGCTATTGCAGGGTACTCCGGTTAAGGTCAGGAGACCCAGTGACTACAACCCATCACTTGCTGCAGCACTTGGTCCAAGTCAGCCTAATCCAAACCTAAACCTGGCTGCTGTTGGTTTGACTCCAGGTTCTGTAGGGGGTCTTGAGGGTCCTGACAGGATATTTGTGGGTGGACTTCCCTATTACTTTACTGAGGCTCAAGTGCGTGAGTTGTTGGAATCCTTTGGAGCACTCCGAGGATTTGATCTTGTCAAGGACAGAGAAACTGGAAATTCAAAAGGCTATGCATTTTGTGTCTACCAAGATCTGTCTGTTACAGATATTGTTTGTCAAGCACTTAATGGAATCAAAATGGGGGATAAAACCCTCACTGTCAGGCGTGCAAACCAAGGTACTCAACAACCAAAGCCAGAGCAAGAAAGTGTATACATGCACGCACAGCAGCAGATTGCACTGCAGGTTATTTTTATGGTCCATGTTTTATTTATCCTATTAATTCTCTAGTAGCTTTATTTGCGGCTGGGTTTAATCCGCCTGGATCTTTTAAAGTGTTTTTTCTTGTGAGATGAATAAGTACTGCAAGTTTCACCCTTATGTTGGCACACGGACAACAGTGTCATTTGAAAGGCCATCTTATCCTGTGGCAATACTTCTGTGTTGGTTGGTGCCACAGTCTTTTGTCTGCTCGAGTTTGAGCAGCAGTCTATAGCAGGATTATTTTATCTGACTAGTCTCTTTTATCTTCGCAGAAAATGATATTGCAACCTGGCGGTCTTCCCACCAAGGTGGTGTGCTTAACAAACTGTGTAAATCTGGATGAGCTCAGAGATGATGAGGAGTTTGAAGATATCTTTGAAGACATGAGACAAGAGGGAGAAAGATTTGGTACTAGTCTCAAACTGCTTGGATTATTTTTTTACTGTATTTTCTTTTTCTTGTCATCCACGTAGTGTTTATTTTGTCTATGGTGTATGGAATATATTGCCATATTCTACTATGAAGACTAGTGGCTATTAATCTGAAAGGTTCCATCTATCTCTGTATCATTGTGTATTTCCCCTCCATCTTTGCAGGTTCTTTACTAAGCGTTGTCATCCCCAGGCCACATCCAAATGGAGAGCCATCACCTGGGCTTGGAAAGGTTAGTTTAGTGTAATGTCACATTGACATTATGAATGATTTATGTTTGTGTTTAATCATTGTTCTGTTGTCCCTCCATTTCTGTACAAGTGTGGCCTTTTAATATTAGGCAAACAACTTTGATGTGCTAATTAATGTTAATAAATAAACTGACAAGTAACAATTATTACTATATTGGTATTTTAATCAATTTATGTGAGTAATAATATGTAACAAGAAGAGGAAGGACTCAAAATATTACCTTGCTTCCTCTAGCAAAGCTCCTTCCTTATTTGATATAATGATGTACTTGATACTTTGCAATGGAACATCTGATATAACCTAAACTCCTAAAGTGTTGTTTGTCACAATGAAAGAATGATCTCATGTTTTAGCTACCTAGGGGGTGAGTTTCATTTGTTCGCTGATTATTTTAATATTTATATACTTCGTATTTCTTTTTCCCCAGGTGTTTCTGGAGTATGCAGATATAGAGAGTTCTTCAAAGGCAAGAGCTGGAATGAATGGAAGAAAGTTTGATGGCAAAGAAGTCGTGGCTACATTTTACGCGGAAAACAAATATGCGGAGGCACAATATGACGGCTGAAGATATGATAAGATTGTCATCCTTTTATTTTTGGTTTCTGTTCAATTTAGTGGATGAATCACATGTAGATTTTCATTAGGCTACTGAGATTGTAGATGTTCCTATTCTTACATTTTTTGTACTTGGGGTTTATTTTGTACCTGCTAAATAGGATTGCTGTTTTTACAGCCAGATGCTAGTATTTTGATGCTATCCTCTTTTACTTTTAAAATGTTGATGAATGATTTTGCTTGTTATGCGAAGATTCTATAGTTACACAGTCTCTGGAAATCTACAGAAATGTGTGTGTTAGCCTGTTAGGCCATATCTGATCGGGAAATTGGTTTGGATTCGGAATGAAATGGTTCTAGTTTGGTTTATTGTTTTACACAGGAATTGATTTGTGAGTTTGCTTCTCAAATTTTCTGCCACGTCGTTTGTAACACATCTGTAAGGCTGTTTTAATTGATAATGGTACAATTGGTATTGTCTTATGTAGAAGCGAGTTTAGGGTACTTGGTTGTTACATGCCCTTTCCTTCTACTCTGCCATTTCAATTCATTGCTTTATTCATCAAAGCTTCTCACTAATTTGTATTGATTGTGCAATCTACGTATTTTTTATTTTCACTATTGAATTAGTTTTAATAGCCGGAATTTTTTTTTTCAAGAAACCATGGTCTTCCCTAAATATATGAACTTGTTGAATTCAAAAACCGTAAACAATTATAGTTTTGAGTTTTTGACTCGAATCACACACCATACAACTAGTTTAAAATTGATTGTATTGCTATTGCTAGTTTGACCGGTGGTTAGCTTGATTTTATGCAATGTCTGTCGCTCTTAAATTATCGAGAAGTAAAGGTTCAATTTGATTAATAAAAAATGTTTTGTATTTTGATTACGAGGGAATAAGTGAATGTTAATGTTATTGAATACAGAGGATCAATTTAGCTCAATTAGATATCAAATTCTTATTCTTACATGTTATTTATATCTTTAAATTCGATTTCCTCATGAAGTCATGAGCACGTTGGGAGGATGATATAAGATGTATTACAATGTAACTTGTCGTAAAATGTCTTCCTAACTCCAACAAAAAAACAAAAAAAAAAAAAAAAAAAAAAAACTCAAATCCTCCATGTTTTGACATTTGACACCATTAGGCAATAGGCCTTAAACCCTAAACCCTCCTTTATTCTCTCTTTCTTCATCTCTTTCCTCCCTCCTTAAACCTCTTCATTGTAGCAGAAAAACCTCTCAAAATCCAACAAAAATGTCATTCTCTCGTTCCATTCGACTCGTTCGTCAACTCTCAACCACCACCACTACCAACCCCACCTCCTCAATTTCAATCTCCAAAGCAAAATTCAAGCTCAGAGCAGAACACGACCCAGATAAAGCCCTACAAATCTACTCCTCTGTTTCCGACCATTACACTTCCCCTGTTTCCTCTCGTTATGCCCAGGAACTCACTGTTCAACGCCTCGCCAAAGCTCGCCGCTTTTCCGACATTGAAGCTCTCATTGAATCCCACAAAAAAACTCCCCAAATCACCCAAGAACCGTTTTTGTGTTCTTTGATTCGATGTTATGGGAAAGCAGGTATGTTTGATCATGCCCTTAGTACTTTTAATCAAATGGATGAATTGGGTACTCCTAGAACTACGCTTTCTTTTAATGCTTTGCTTGCTGCTTGTAATCATTCTAAGTTGTATGATAATGTACCCCAACTGTTCGACGAAATGCCTAAGAGACATGGGTTTGTTCCTAATGAGGTTTCTTATGGGATTTTGATTAGGAGTTTTTGCGGGAAGGGTGATCCTGAATTGGCTTTGAAAACTTTGGGGGAAATGGAGGAGAAGGATGTTGAGGTTACTGCTGTTGCTTTTACTACTATTTATGATGCATTTTGTAAGAAAGGGATGAGTGATGAGGCCGAGCGCATTTGGAATGAGATGGTAAATAAGGGGTGTTTGATTGATGCTGCGGCGTATAATGTAAGGATTGGTCATGCTTATGGCGGCGAGCCTGAGGATGTGATGCGGTTGATTGAAGACATGGCTGCGGCGGGGTTGAAACCGGATGCTATTAGTTATAATTATTTGTTGACTTGTTATTGTAGAAATGGGAGGATGGATGAGGCTATGAAACTTTATCTAGAATTGGATGCTAGTGGGTTTAAACCGAAAGCTGCAACGTTTAGGACTTTGGTTCATTATCTGTGTAAGAATGAAGAGTTTAGGAAAGGTTATGATGTGTTTAAGCGTAGTGTTTTTCATAACAAAATTCCGGATTTTGCAACTTTGAAGGTTTTGGTGGAAGGATTGGTGGCTAAGAACAACAAGAAGGACGCGAAGGGATTGATTAGGACTGTTAAGAAGAAGTTCCCGCCTAATGTTTTGAATGCTTGGAAGAAAGTTGAGGTTGAACTTGGTTTGGTATCACAAGAATCTTCTGCTACTATGCCTGAAGTGAAAGAGGCTGCAAAATAGTGGTTCTCTAGAGACGCTACGGGTTAGAATTAGTGTGGTTAGATCAAATACAAATTTCAAGTGATCTTACTTGAGGAAGGGCACATGAAATTGGATACAGCCCATACATGATATGATTGCGACAATGATCAAACAACTGTGCAGATTACTCATTTATGATTTCTGGAGAAGGTCTTTGATTTTGAACTAGACCGCAGTCCACAACTATGATTTTTGACCCAAGTTATGTATTTACTTCCCCTTTCCCTTTGACAGAAGAGGACTTAAATGGTTCCTTTTACCTCAATTTTGTATGATTTTGAGGCTTCAGATTTTTTGAAGTCCATTTTAAGGCATAATGATAAATATTATGTCATTTTTAATAGGCAATGCAATAAATATTAAACTCGTTGTTATCTTTTCCCATCTTGCTCCATTTCTAATTTGAATATCATTGAAGCTTACTTTATTTGGCGATTCTCAGTTCCCAACGCTACCTAAATGCTGTTTTTACTACACTTTGTACTTTTAAGAATGTATCTTGAAACACAGAATTATAGTTTGTTTCTCACAATGGTTAAGTGATTCTATCTTTGGTTATGGATTTACGATTACTGAGCTAACTATTTTCAGTCTTTTTTTTTTTTAACTTATCTCAATCCTAGTATTTGGCTTCTGCGGAGTTGTCTGTTGGTATCAGAAGAGATTGCTTTAGATATTTTCTGGCTGAGTTGCCTGCCATAGCTGAATTAACTTTTTTCTGGTGAGTTCCATGTCAAATACTCAAATTTAATGCAATTAACATCTCATTTAGATGAATCAAATACTAAAGTAGTGATTTTCTAAGTTCACTGTTCTATCTGAGGAGATCATAGCTGTGCATCAGGAGATGGTTTCCTTCCATTTTCACAAATTGATGTAGCTTTGACACGGGTTCTACTGATACATCGAAAACTATTCAAGCTGATGTTTTTGCAGGCCTGGTTATCAGTTTTTTAAAACTAGTGAAGTAGTGATGCTTTGATATTTGAAGGTATAATTTTCGGGCACCTGAGTCTCTTTCCTGGCATTGGTTTCTTTCAATCTCCTTGTATTAAGGTGACTTTGGGTTGAACTTTGCACCAGTTATGTAAATTTTACAAAGCATCAGTCAGTAATCTCGGTATGCAGTAGATGATTTCTAGACGAGGATATTTGATTGAGATTGGACTGTTATGAATGGAAAGCTAATTTGTAGGTATAAACATCTTCTGCGCATCCTTAGGAAACAATGTACTAGTACATTTCAATATTCTTTGTCATCCTGTGAATTTCCTAGAACTTCCTCAGAGCCTTTTTTTTTTTCTAGTTCTTGAAAATGCATTAATACAAGGATGCAGAGAGCAGTACAGATGCCAGTGTTTAATGTTTATGCTGGTAAACTTGATCCTCAGGTACACTATTGCTTCCCATTCTAAGCTTGTTTTCTCTAGTTATTTGCTACCCTAGTCATTAATTGTTACATGCCTATATCTTCAATTGAAATGAACATTATCCATACCTATCTCCTAGGCAATACGCCAATACCTATATTCTTTTGCATGATTATGCAAAATCTCATTGAGTTAACTGTCAATTTGTCGCCACCGAGCTGGTAAACGAGCAGGTATGGAAAGTTCGGTTCATGCTATCATTTCAAACGGGAAGTATGCATTCAGCTCCATTTATCTTTCTATGTATGTCCAATTGCTTCTTTTGGATTCAAGATTTCACTCTGTCTTGTTCCTATAAACAGAATGCCATTAAAGTGTTCGTTTTGTTGTTTCACCTACAAAAATGCTTTTGAGCAAATTCCAACAAAATGTCATTCAAATCAGTTTGAGGCCGCTAATTTTAACAAAATAAGTTAAAGTTTGACAAATTGTTTGGCCTGATGGCAAATATGGCAATACTGAGTGCACTCTTCAACAAATTATGACTATTTATTGATAATTATTTAGTACGAGACTACGGAGTAGATAGTAATAACTAATAAGTGCAGAGTATATTTTATTGTGTACAAAGTATTAAATATTTTTAGGTAAAAAAGAGACTCACTTGAGAATATTTTGCACATTGTAGTAAATTTAAAGCGTTTTTTTTTCCACCTAAAATATCATGGAACTATTTTTATTTCGTGAAAGAGAGAAGCAAGCCCCTCAACGAGAAAGCAAAGAAACATAACAAAAGAAAATGATATGTATATACAAATTCAAGACAAAGTCAAAAGGTTAAACACTAGGCAGCAATCTAGATCAAGCCACACTACTTAAAACCTACTCCCTCCATTTTTTTTATTTTTTTTTTTTAATTTGCATCATTTTTATATTTGGTAAATATATACTATATTTTATCAATTTTATCTTTTTTATGGTCCCCACTAAAATAATAAAAATATTTATCCTTTCTCACGTACTTTCTCTTTCATGGTCTCAATCTTACTTTTACTATAATAATTTATTCACACACTCACAATAATAGATTACTCTCCTAAAATTTTGTGCAATCCAAAGTGATGCAAACCATAAATTATAAAAATAAAAAAAGAAAAAAAAAAACACTAAGATTTGAAGCAACCACTTAATGTATGTTTAGTTCCTATTTTTCTTCTCTCAGGAACATTTCAATTCAATTCATTAACTCAGAACAGGCCCTACACCCCAAAGCTAGCTAAACAATCAACAACTCAATTAACTTCTCTCTAACAACAACTTATCATAATTTCTCATCTTTACCTTCACGACTGAAATTTATTGAACTAAATTGATCCGACCTAATTTGAACTAAACGGAACTGACGTAATTTGAACTAAACTAAAAAATTCTATAGAGAAGTCGAAAAAAAACCAAGTCTTACTTTAATTTCTTTTATTACCAACAAAATCAATTATAATTGTCATATTAAACCGCCATTTGTTATTAAAAAGTATTTATATCATGGAAAATTAAAAATATCATTTGGGCTAAAAAGCTTAAACCCTCAATCAAAAATTCTCTCCTTTCTCCCTCCCAAAGTTTCCCCTGTAACCCAGTGAATCCTTGAATTTGAGGAGAGAGAAAGTGAAAAATGACGACAAGAATAGCTCCAGGAGTAGGAGCCAATCTTCTCGGTCAACATTCTGCTGAGAGAAATCAAGATGCTACCGCTTACGTCGGTAACCTTGATGCCCAGGTTTTTCTCTTTCTAGGGTTTCTTTTTATTTTAATTTTTTTGATTATAATTGTATGAATTGATTTTTGCTTTCATTTTTACTATTTGATAGTTTCTAACTAGGTCAGTTTTTAATTCGTATATTACATATTATAATTGGTAATCTTGGGAGTGAGCTTAATCGAGTAAAAATTATGTAATTTCCCACTTAGTTTATTGTAATTGTGAACAATTTTTGGGGGTTTTATGGGATGCTAAAAAGAGATTTATATTTGATGTGGAGTAGATTTTTGTGTTTGTTGTTGTTGTTGTTATTGTGATTTTGATTTGGTCTAAAGTCTATAGCTTATTAAAAAAATTATTATTTAAATTTGATTAATTTTTGAATTATTGCAACTTTGAAGTTTAAATCATATGATAATGTGCTACAATGTTGGCGGAATTCGCAAGTACGATTTATGTAATTCAATTTACGGGTTTGGGAAAATGTTGTATCCTAAGCTCAATTACAAGGAGAAGAATGGCAACCACAATTACTTGATAGGGAACATCTTTTACACTTAGAATTTAGATTAATTTTAGGGTATATTAGGAAAGGAAGAATTTACCGGAGAATTGTGAGCTAGGTAGCTAAGCTTTGCGATTGTAACTGATTGGGAGAAGTGAGTGAAAAGATATTTGAGAGAGATCCCAGTTTAACCCTATAGTAAGACTGTAAAAGGTATATGACTTAAAAATGGACGAATGGTTACAAGTAATATGCAACCAACTTCCCCTCCATATTAGGAATTTGTAGTGACCATTGACACCCAATTGGCCCTTGTCGTTCTGAATCGGTTTGCCCTGTAAGGGTTTTAAGGGATTGCCTTAAAACTTATCCCTTGAGCTGCCTCTGCGTTTGATACGCAATTTGGGGTTTATCTTGTGTCGGATAGTGTGAATATGGGAATTAAAATAACTATTTTTCTGAGAGTAACATTGTGTTGTATGGAGTACTTGATTGAATTCTCCTGCAAAATAAACTATGCACTGATCATCCTTGGTTGTTATGCTGCAGGTATCTGAAGAGTTGCTGTGGGAATTGTTTGTTCAAGCAGGCCCTGTTGGTAATTTTTATACATTTTTTTTTCTGGGTTTTCTGAAGATCGAATGCTTTATGAATTACTATTTTTTTTATCTTCTCTGCAGTGAATGTCTATGTACCAAAAGATAGAGTAACCAACCTCCATCAAGGCTATGGGTTTGTAGAATTCCGAAGCGAAGAAGATGCTGACTATGTATGCCCCTTTTTTTTAACCTTAGTTGCTTTTCTTATCACCTCTGACGTGTTTGAAAATGATTTAAGTTATATTTAGTCCCTAATATCTTCCTTTATAATGCAGGCAATCAAAGTTCTTAATATGATCAAGCTTTATGGGAAACCTATACGTGTGAATAAGGTATCCTGATTCTGGACCTTTTATTTTATTGCATGGCATAGTCAAATGAGTGTTTATCTGAGTAAGGAATTCCATGTTACAGTATTCAGATATGTGAAGTGCAAATGTTAAACACTAATACCCTATATGGGTTTTCCACTATGTCCTGTTACAGGCTTCTCAAGACAAAAAGAGCTTGGATGTTGGAGCAAATCTCTTTGTTGGGAATCTGGACCCTGTAAGACACTAAGACCTATTGTTACTTATTCTTTCAATACTCTAACTTGCTGTCTTTGCTGCCATTATCATATATATTGTGACACAAATGATTTCTGTCACCTCCCTCTTTCATTATCATGTGACATTGAGATCTTTTTCCCCCTCTTTTTGTAGGATGTGGATGAGAAACTTCTTTATGATACTTTCAGCGCGTTTGGAGTCATTGTTACAAATCCAAAGGTAATACTTCATTCTACCTTCTACCTTTGTGGCTTACCCTGTAGTGCTGCTCATCAACTGTAGATTTTGGCAACTTGCAATTTCATCTGTGAAAATTTTGTATTGGAATATGTGCTTCATGGACCTCATGATTAATTCTAGCTTCCTAAGTTTTGTCCTTCATGTACTAATTGTATGATCAACATAGAAGTCTGCATTTGTCTTAATTCTCTGGTACTAACATAGAAATTGGATATACTCATGCTCGATTAGCTCTTGCTGCCTTCATCACTCTGTGCTTGGCTATCTGTCATCACTCATCAGCCTTGTAGCTTTAGAAACTTCCTTAAACTACTACTATAATCTATATTCAAAAGTACTTCTGATGCTTGAGACTATTTTCTGGAACAACTTCCTTGATCTGCATCTTTATTGAAAAAAGAGGGATGCTCGCTCAAATCCTTTGTGTGCTTATATGAGTACTTTAGTATAGTTTATGCAATTTTCCTTATGATCCTGCTTATCTAGCAGTAGCCAAATATAATAATTTTACTCGCAATCCTCTACAACATGCCATACAAGATCCCATGAGGTTCTCATCTTTAGAAGTTGTCATCTTTATCATTTTTTTTAGTGTTAGTTATATTACCCTTGGAGTTGGAACTTGCAAAGAGGTGGTTATGGTATCTACTAGACCTTTGATTGTAAAGGCTGTTATTTGACCTCTGGTTCAAAAATAACATAGTATTGGAGAAAGCAGTGAGCCTGTTACTTATTCTACAAATCCTTCAATGACCATTTATTCAAGGAGTGCCTGCCTCAGTAAGAATTGTAATTCTCTCACACACCTTGCAGAAAATTTGTTATATTTGGCTTGCATTTTTTACTGTAAAATTAGAAAGAGGTAAGTGATGTAGCTAACCACATTTGAAATAGAGCTTTTGGGTGTTCTAATGTTATGTATATATTGTTTATAGTTATCTTTCTTATGGAGTCCAAAAAAAAAATGGAGAAATTTGATTTAAGGCTAGAGATGACTCAATTTTGACGGGTGTCTTTCACATGCTATGAATATTGATTCTTGTTAGCTTTTGTTTGCAGATTATGAGAGATCCAGAAACAGGAAATTCCCGTGGCTTTGGATTCATTAGTTATGATTCCTTTGAGGCATCTGATGCAGCTATTGAGGTATGTACTGCTTTTTATGCTCAACACCCCCCCCCCAACACACAAAACCACCACCTTCACCTATATAACTTTTGTTCATATATCATTCTAAGTAAACGGATATGTGGCGGCTTCTCTCTCTCTTTTTTTCATATGGCATTAGTTTATGCTTGGGGTTTAATTTGACAACTGTTTTGGAATTGCAGGCAATGAATGGTCAGTATCTTTGTAATCGTCAAATTACAGTATCCTATGCATACAAGAAAGATACGAAGGGGGAGAGGCATGGCACTCCTGCAGGTCAGGTTTCATTGCTCAATAAATCACGTCCATAGTAATATAATACACCAGATATTTAACAATGTTCTTTTTTTTGATAAATTACAGAGAGAGTTCTTGCTGCAAGCAATCCAGGTACTCAGAAAAGCAGACCTCACACCCTGTTTGCAAGTGGTCCCCCAACCCTTCCTCAAGCCAATGGTGCTGTACCTACTCCTACTGCTCCACGGCCTCTTGCAAATGGTGCAGTCCCACCGAGTCCCATGCCCCAATTCCGTCCTCCACCACCCCCACTTGTAGGATCATTCCCCCTCCACCAATGCAGATGGCCAACACTTGGCAGGGGCAGCCCCAACAGCAAGGTCAAGGGCCTCCCTCGATGCCCCCGCCACCACCACAATACAGGCCTGCACTGCCTCCAAACATGATGCCACCCCCTCCCCCTCAGGCAGGTCAAGGGTATGCAAGGCCACCTCCTCCAATGTCAATGGGGGGTCCACCTGGTTGGAGGCCACCACCTCCACCTCAGCAAATGGCTGGCAGGCCGCCTTACCAGCAACAATATTCAATGCCGCCTCCACCACCTCCATCAGGTTAATATGTTGAGTTGTTAAAATTTGGATACCTAAATTTTTTGTCCTTGCTGTATAACATTAGGTACAAATTTATTGTTAGGATTAAGTTTACATTTTATAGAATTAGAAACTTACTTTTCTAGTGATATATTTTCTGGATTATTTCATGCAACGCAAGAAAAACGGTAAGTTTCAAATTTGACTATCTTGTACTCCACAGCATCACTTTGGTTCAAGACACTTCAAGAGCCACCCTAATTGCTTGAATACTGAGATATTAGTTTAAAAAGGAATATATACATAGTACTTGTAATTCATGCTTTCCGCTTATTCTTTAGGTTTAGGATTTTATGTAGTCCATTAAGATAATCTTACAATGAGGCAAATGTTCATCAATTTAACAGTATCACCTATTCACCTTGGTCTGCATGAGGAAAATTAGGTTTCTTATCTTGATTATCAAGGGGTAAACTTCTCATTTCTAGTATAAAGTGAAGGTAATTTGTGTCATTTTTTCTTCTCTACCTTCCTTCAATTCTTCATCTCCTCAACCTTCATCTTCTTCTTACTCCCCCGTACCCTCACCTAAATCTCCACCGACACCACCATTTCTAACATTTTGGACACCACCATTTCCAACACTGACATCTTTATCTTCCTCGTCTCCACGGACATTGACACCACCATTTCTGCCACAACGATTTTACTATTGAATCAAACAAAAAATCTAAGGAAAAAAAAAGGAGAAATAAAGGGTATGGTTAACATAGAGTAAGTTTTCCCCTCCATTGAAGCCAAGTTTTCCCTTCTTAAGTTGCTTGTCAGCTATCTCCATTGATGGTGAAGCAAGAAAGTCCATTAACAGAGTTATTTTAAGGATATGCTAGATAGACATGATTTTTTTTTATGTATATGTTCAAATATTAATGCAAGTTATACAAAGTTGTCATTTGATAAACAGTTCAACGTTATTATTGCATTTTCTCAGTCTGCAATACATATTTTCAACAAAAGTAAAAAAAAAAAGGTCACTAAGGGCCTGTTTTCTTCAACTTAATTTCCTTCTCTCATAAACAGTTCAATTCAACTTAGTTTAGTAAATCAAAATAGGCTCTAATTATAAATGAGTTACACCCAGTTAATTCCCCAGATTAACAAACTTTGTTTATCATTGTTTATCTGGGGGTATAATTGTATTTTCAAGTACCAGAGGAGGGGTACATGCGTCTTCTCATGTAATAGTTGAAGGGTACATGTGTAATTTGCTCACCAAACAGTAAATGCATGTTGCAAACAATAATTGGACAGCTCAACAAAAGTACTGAATAAATAAACACGCTTTTTGAATATATTTACAGAAATGCCATTAGATTAACAAAAATTCGTTTATCTAGTAGAAAAACTTGTATTTGCCCATTACAAATATTAGAGGCTCATGGTTATCAATTGGTAGTTTTGCGCATGATACATCTGGATGGGTTATTTCTCATGAAACTGTTAATAAGTCAAACTTAATGTCGAATGATTAAGCAAATATCTATGCATGATTGCTTGTTTGGTATTGACATTACCTGTTAATCCAATTACATATCAGAACCAGCAGAGCTCAGGCCAAAAGGCAGAGGCCGTAGCACATGAGCAAAAAGAGATGTGAAAAAAAAATGGCCCTAGAGGCTTAGAGGAGTTAGAGCTACAAAAACTTCGAGTTGAATATAAACCACGTTTAACACTAAGCAGTAAGCATTTAAAATCTGTACTGCAAGACCACAGATCTTGCATTGGAGAAAAAACCCAATATCTTTGGGGAAAAATAAGTAAAGAAAAGCTAACTACAGAAATCACATATCAAAATCCCAAGTACTCTCAGCACTCAATTTTGGTATTTTTGATTCCTCGGCCAAATTCAGAGACGCTGAAACCTGAAATAATAGTTCATGTATGCTTAGATAACGTACACAATTACTGCAAACATAGAACAGCTTTTAAACATTCTGAAAAATAAATCATGGATGGCAAATAACAATGCAGAATTGCAGATCAGATCAGATAAACATAGAGTTATAAAAACAGTGACAAATTGACAGCAATGGCAATCAAAAGAGGTAAGTAAAATCAGCCACCTTTGGATAAACTGAAAACAGAATACGCTTATAATAAAGCAACAGATTTTCCAAAGCCGATATTCAATGAACATTAAACTAATATGTGCACATTAAGAGCAAAGACATGTAATGTCAATTAGGTAAGCTAATGTAGCAGGATGTATGGGCTGATTGCCTAGCATGTAGGCAAATATAGCACTTACAGTGTTCGGAAATAGACATATTATACATGAACTACATCATACATTGATTGTGCATCGACTAGTTTATTGTTCGGATGGATCTTTTTCTATACTCGCCTAGAAAGCTCTACTCGAAACACCATTTGAATAACAGGGACATAATCAACAGTTCAACACCACAAAACATTTCACCATTTTACCAAATAGCTAACATCAAGAATCAATTCAATAAACATTTTCTAATACAAATTCATCAAACAATATGATTCACACTTATATATGCTGCCAATGAAACAGTAGCATGATCAACTTCCAAACCATTTAATCCACTATATTTAGCTATCACATTACTATTTCAAATTACATTTATACGACGAGTATTCAACACCACACACGAAAACAACAAGACATACGAAAATTACTGAGAATATACCTTGAAAGAACCACTGAAAGGCGAAGCTCTCGACCATTCCAACCCCAAAATCTTAGTAGAAGTCTGGTAAGAACCCTTAACAACATCATCCCCAGTAATCCTCTGGGAAACAGAAAAATCCCAGGAATTCTTGGCAACATCATAACAAGGTTCAAAAGTTCTAGCACCTCCTGCTTGACTATAACAATACTTGAATTTCCGAATTCCAGAATCAAAATTACAAGTCGCAGAAATCTTATTCGACGAATCAATCACCACAGTTCCATCAACCCACAAATTCTTATCTGCCCTAGAATGCGTATATGTCATCTTCAATTGCTTGTCTAAAACCCTAATTGAATTCATGAATTGAAACCTCAAATCCTGCCACCCAAAAAAAATCGAAAAATTGGGATTAATTCTCACAAATTGAACCATATTTAAGAAGAAGAGATGAAAGAGAAGAAAGAGAAGAAGTAGAATTACTTGTTTGGGGACATTGTAGTCGACGATGAAAGACCCAGGTTTTTCAAGTGAAAGAGAGAGGTTTCTGAAGATTGGACCAGCGTCGAAGATGGCTTCGGACATGGCGGCTTTGAGCTTGAGTTCGCCGGCGTTAATGGAGACTGTGGCGGCGCCGGTGCTGCTGTCGGTGGCGCATTGGCCGTTTACCGACGCTTTCCACATCGTCGGAGGAGAGAGAAAATGGAGTGGATAAGAGTAGAGAAGAAAGCAGAGAGGTAATGGAATTTTCGAGGGAATGTTTTGTAAGTGGTGGAATTAAGGGTTGTGATTTGGTTTGATGGGTGAGGGTGTAGGGGAGTTAGGGTGCGTTCAATTGTAGAGGATTTGTGGGTTTTTTTTTGGGCTTTAAGAGAGTTTTATGTTTTGAATATTGGATTTTTTTGAACAAAAAAATGATACATGAATAACATGATCCATATCACCATATGATTATGGAAATTGTACAAGAGGGAAGATAGTTTGTACTCATCTCATTTTTTTTTTAGAACGATACACGATTATAATTAGGTTTGTTTTTTTCTTGAGACTAATGCTTAATGTATCTAGATTTTTAAAATAGGAAAATTTATTGTCTAAGAAAAAAAAGAGTCTATTTGTTGATGAGTGTTCGTTTCGTGTTTAATCGAGGTAACGTAATTCTGTGGCCAGCTGTAGACATATTTTGATCAAGGGACTAAAATTGTTGGAGTATGGTCTTAATTTCAACCATGAGTAAATGAATCTTCTTGAGACAAGAAGCTTTTCCCTACAAAATATTAATAGTAGTAAGGTTATCTCCCTCGATACAAATATGGTTTATATTTAAAGACTTCGCAATAAGGAGCCCATTTTGAAGTGCTATAACCTTAATCATGAAAGGGGAGCAAAAACTATATACAATCAATATTGATGCGTTGAGAAAGACCTCTTATAGCAGTGGCCTAGAGGTAACCTTGCATCCTTGAGGTACGAGGTTTGATTCCCATCAAGCACACATCCCATCCCCCTACCCCTCCGGGCATTGTCAGCTTTTCGGTTGGCGCCTAGTTGACCTAAACGTGTAAAACAAAAAACAAAAAAAAGTCAATATTGATGCGTTGTTTAGTTGAAACTTAATGAACCTGATTGCAATAGTGTAAACTTAAGTGAGTAAAATGATCAAACCTAATTGGATCTTATTTGAGCATGTTTAAACTTATTGAAATATACATGAAACAAATCTTTTAAAGGTGAAAAGAATTTAGGCAAAGATCATTCAAAAGCTCTCCCACGGTTAAAGGCTTAGATTTTGTTGACTTCATTTCAAAGTGTGATTTTAGCATTTAGGTTGTAAACAAGGATTTCAAAGAGTTCAAACATACGAAGTACTAGTTTAAAGAATTTCTCAAAGATAGATACGTACGTAGTACTAGGTCAGTTGTACTCTCTACCTTTAACACGGTTCATCTCTATAGCGGTTATTCTTCATGCCCATATGCCTCACTCATGCATCTCAATTTCTCATGCTTGTAATTTCGATCATATTTCCCAAATTGTCAACAAATCATATACCCTTTTGAAAATGACTCTAAACAAAGTCACATGACCTAACACGAAAAATAGCCCAATATATTACTTAGTACAAAATATTCCAAACTATTATCATAAACTATGTGTAAAGCTTTTCAAGCATTATCCTTATCATAGGATTCTGATTAATCCAATTTTTTAACCAACAAGAATAAAATTGTTAGTTTGATCATCTCTAATGACCCCTTGAGACATCCCTACTGAAATTTTGTTATCTAGTGCAAAATAAGAAATGCAACAAAAATAGAGATTCAATTAAATTATAGTTACACAGTGTCAAAATCCGACTCAATCGTCCTGATTCGAAACCGACCAAAATAAAACCCCATTTAAATTTCTATTTGTATGAATACATTAATTTAACATACTCGCATCATCCGTCTAAGTTATGGGAATTGACCCCTATATTTAAAGTTAAGTGCCCGGGTGGAGTGGCACTACCAACAACATGTGTTGAAATATCCAAAAGCTCCAAACAAAAGTGGTGGATTGAAACTTGAAAGCAATCTAATGAAAGGACATGTCCATTCATAGATAGATTGATAGATGTTCACTAGATTTATGAGTATATTTTGGGAAGTGAGCTACTAATTAAAATTAGTCACACAAAAGACAAGTCAAGGATGCCTGTTAATTTATATCAGTTGGAAGAGGTAACTGATTCTCTGATGCCGTGTGTTCCAAACTTCTCTAAAATATTACCTGAGATTTATTTTAGCAACAGGCTTCATGACACTAACCCATTCCCACTACGATGCCTTGTCGTACTACTGTACCCTAGAAAGAATCACAGCTTTATAAAAGCTCTACTTTGGCATGCTTCTTTTAACGAATTTAATTACTCCTTTTTTTTTTTTTTTTAAAGTGTTATGTACATTGTAGGGCCCTACATTGTAGGGCCCTACATTGTACAATACATAAAGATTAACGAATTTAACAAATAAGAACATAGAGTTTTTATCAAGCTTAGCTTGATGAATGATGATAATGCAAATTAATGGATATTGCTAGGTCTATATAGACATGGGATGGCAATTCATAAAAGGAACAGCAAATTCAAGACATATTCTAACAATAAGATTGTTTCGATTTTGTTTTATTTTTTCATTCCTCAAATCTGTGTGAGAACTGAGAACAAAATTATTAAATCACTGACTATAACTTTTACTAACATAAGTATTTAACATTATCATACACTTGCACTTTAACATTAATATTTTGAACTATAGAGTAGTAGAGCATTAGTAGCTGGCCAGGTAGTGTCAGTGCAGTTAATCAGTGATTAGTAGCTAAAAATTTATCTTTACATTTTTTTTATTCAAGCATCAAGGGACCCTTATCTTTTTCATTCTAGATAATCTCAAGTTTCGACTAATGGTTAATTGATAATTAAAGTTCGGTACCAAGTAACTAGCTGATTGTACAAATCATACTTCGTAAATAGGAATGTTCCAAAGTGCACCTTCTGACCTTCATATATAAGGATAAAAAAAGCCCTTAATTAAGTTTCATACAACTACGAGTACAAAAAATACATTCTTCAATAATTGAAGTAAATCAATTTGCAAAGAGAACTTTTTTTTAGTTCGTTTAGCAAATAGACTGTATTAAGGTAAAAGTGTTATCATTAGTGTATCATTTACTCGGGAGCTCAATTAATAATGGCATGTAATACATTTTATTTTCGGCTATCACCATATGACTATATATATGAATAATATTACTTAACTTGTAAAATTATGGATCGGATGTCCATCTTACATAAACACACATATTTTTTTTTTTTGAAAAGATATAAACACACATATTTTGACTTAGCTTAAATCACTACAAAATTTTCAAATTCACACATATATGATGTACACATCACGAATACGTGAAAACTTTGTAATACGAAAACGCATAATAAAGTCTCAAATTCACATGTTATAGTGTTATACACATCAGACATCATGAACATACACGTGAATTTTAAATACCAAAATGTATAAATATACTTTATATATACACTTGATATAAGGATGCAAATTGTGTAATATTGCATGTAATCTCATGTAAAGGTTGATGCACGAGTAGGGGTACGAATTTTTTGTATTTAATTGATTAAGGATAGTTGTGCATAGGGGTGGGACTTTTCAAATCGAACCGTGAAACCGCCCGTTACCGAACCGAACCATCACGGAACGATCCGTTTATAAACCGATAAATACAAATCGAAAACCGAACTGAACCGTTCCATATCAAACCGAAACCGAATTGAACCGCTCAATGTCAACCCGTTACGGACCGTAAACCGATAACAAACCAAACTGCGCAAATCTGAACCGAAACGAAACTGAACTGAATGGTTTATAAACCCGTTAATGACCCGAACCGTTTATAAACCGAAACCGTTTAAACCGAAAAAAAACGTTTAAACCGAACCATTTGTAACCCGCTAACCGTTTAAACCGACCCGTTTATGAACCGAAACCGTTTAAACCGCACGTATAAACCGAACCGTTATAATCCGCTAACCGTCTAAACTGAACTGCCATAACCCGTTAAACCGTTAAAATCGAACTGTTTTCGAATCGCAACCTGTTTAAACTGATCCGATTACAAACTGCTTAATTCAAATTGAATTATTTACAACCTAAATGGCTAAATAGTAAATACAATTAATGTTAATAAATGTAGATCTAATCAAACGGCTTAGGTTTATACAAAGGTTTATATCACCTAGATCTAGGCCAACGACATTATTAATATCGTTTTAGATTACTTATTTATTTTAATTACAAGATATATCATTTGTATAATTGTATCATTTTCATTCCAGTAATAATGCTAGTCCACCCAAATTATCTTCATTGTTCCTTGATATTCATGATCATCCAATAACACTCAAAGCCTCAAAGGTAACATAAGATTGGAGATGTATGAGATTGCGTTACACAAGTGGCATAAGCATTAGAATATTACTGTACTAGTCAATAAGGCGTACAATCATTCATATTATCACTTTATAAAACTTTCTTATACAAGTATTTTGTAAAGGGGAGGACTAAAATGTTTATAAAACACATTTTTTTAGTTTTTCTTAAATTAAACCAGATATTAAGTAAAAGAATTTTAATAAATACGGAGGCATCCCAAATCTGTAGCCACAATTATTTCATAACATTACCACAAATCCAGCAGATAAATAGCATTAAAATTAGAGTAATATCAACAAGCAATTAAAAAAAGTCACCATTTTCATTGATTAAAATTCACAATACCAATACATAATGAAACTACTATCACTACTACCCAGATTAGATTTCAGATTTATCAACTGAAATATCATCAAGTTTAGGGTTGCAAAAAATGATACATGATAAGATGAAGGGAGGAGTGAGAATGTGAGTGATTTGGGAGCAGAATCTTGAAGCAGAATCTTGAAGCAGCAGCACAGCACCCAAGAGCAGAGGAAATAGCAGCAACAAGCAGGAACCAGCACACGCAATAACAGATCAGCAACTTATCAGAAGCAAGGAATAATATAAGCAGAAGGGACTCAGCAGGAACTTATTTTTGTTTTTCAAAATTGCTCTCAGATTTACGTTTATCGTATCATCACTGAGCAATGGCTGTTTTAACTTAAAACTTGAAAAATGCTGCCAGCAAGTACATATACATTGAAGTCTCAACATAAATGACAAGGGCAACGATGATTCAAGAAAAATTAAAACAGCAAGCATAAGAAACAGCAGCAACAAAACAGCAGCAGCAACAACTCAGCAGAGACAACAACCAAAAGGCAAAAGCACTACCAGCAGGCAGCAGCTCATAACAAGTTCAAGCAACTTCAAAATTATAGCTTTTGTTTTTTAAAATTGCTCTCAGATTTACATCATTGAGCAATGGTTGTTTTAATAAAAACTTGAGAAATGCTGCCAGCAAGTACCAAAATACATTTAACTATTTAAGTCTCAACATAAATGACAAGGGCAACGATTTTAAAAGTCTTGAAAAATGCTGCCAGCAAGTCTGAAAATAAATGACAAGGGCAACAATTTTTCAAGATAAAATAAACCACAATGAGACACAAATACCAGTTATGCAGATGAAGCACTTTCGGCTTCAATCTCTTTACCAATAAGGAGGACGTCTTCCTCAACATCCGCTTGATAACCACGGCACCAATTTTGGGTGGTAACCAATGCCTCAACATTCTTTGGCAAAAGTTTACCCCTATATTTGTTCAAAATACGACCACCCAAACTAAAAGAAGATTCAGAGGCCACCGATGTAATAGGAATGGCCAAAACATCCCTTGCCATATTAGCTAAAATAGGAAGAGAAGAAGCTTGAGATTCCCAATACTTGAGAACGTCAAAATGTTCCCCTTGAATTAATCGCGAACGAGGTCCATTCAAATATGCCTCAAGATCAGCCAGAGGGCATCTAGTTGAATCATCAAATTCGTCATCAACCTCACGCAACTGAAACAGATTTTTTATTATAAAAGTTAAATTATGACATTACAAATAAAAATAGAAGACTACCATTAATATTGAGTATATTGTATAACATAAATACCGTGAACATATTTTGAGATCTCAACGTGCGATTAGAATTTTCATATTGAGCTGTGTTTGAAGAGGCAGGATTTCTGCAGCTTGTATTAGATGCAGTAGAATAAAATTTATAAAGGTCATAAAAAGCTTCCTTAATCATCATAATCTTTTCGTCGCATGCCTCATCATTATACAACGAGTTCAACATATGTCTCACTCGAAACAACTTATAACGAGGATCAAGAGCAATAGCAACTGAAAGTATCAAACTATAATCCTCCCAATAACTCTCAAACTTCTCAAGCATAACTGCTGCCATGGGTGCAAGTTTAGGGTCTTTAAAGGCTTGAGTAATAGCGTACTCAATTTTTAAAACACTAACAAAATACAAATTAGAAGTGGGATATTCGGTACCAGAAAATAACACAGTTATATCATTAAATGGCTGAAGGAAATCACAAATTTTTTGAATGGTATCCCATTCATCAGCATCAAGTCTATAAGAAATACCCAAAAACCTACTAGTATATAGAATCAAGGCATCCTTAGCTTCTAAGGCTTTTCGGAGCATTGTATAAGTGGCATTCCAACGAGTCACAACATCAAGACATAACTTGCCATTAAAAGCAGAGTCTAACTCAGACAAAGCATTCTCAAATTGAGTTGATCTAGAATCAGAAGCATCAATATATTTAACAACCTCACGCAATTTTTCAACACTTTCATGAACTTCTTTTAAACCTCTTTGAACAATAAGATTTAAAACATGAGCTGAACATCGAACATGAAAGAATTTCCCATTACAAGGAAGAGGAGAGCATTGCATTAATTCTTTTTTCAAATATTCAACCATAACATCCATAGAACGAGCATTATCAATGGTCATTGAAAAAGCCTTACCTTGAAGGTTCCACTCTTTAATCAGTTTAAACACAAACTTTCCAACCTCAACACCAGTATGGGGAGGGCCACAATATCTAAAATTTAAAATTTTAGACCTAAGAGACCAACTGTTATCAACATAATGAGCAGTCAAAGTGAGATAGCCTCGGTTAGTACATGCAGTCCACAAGTCACATGTAAAGCTAACTCTACCAGAAACATTAGCCAAAGACTCATGCAACAAGGATTTATATTTATCATGCTCATCAATAACATACTTTAACATAGTTTTTCTACAAACATGCTGCACCATAGGATTCAAATATGCATGAAGTTCCCTAAGGTATTCATGCTCTACAATATTTAAAGGATATGCATGGCAGATTATAGCTTTAGCAAACTTTTGTAAATAAGTTTTTTGATCAAATTGTGATTCGTTACCAGACTGGAGACCATGCTTTTCCAAACATGCATTAATATGAGCTCTACAAGTTGAAGTACCCGCTTTACCAGGTGCTTTATATTCTTTGCCACACAAATTACAACGAGCATAATCTACCTTTTCATTACCTATCGTCTTTACAAAAAAAGTGTAATGCTTCCATATACCTGCGGTTCTTTGACGTTTATTAACAGAAGGATTGATAGTGCCGGTATTACTAGCATCATCAAGCGGGACAGAGGCAGCTTGAGAGCTAACAGTATCAAAATTTGATTGCCTCTCATAGTCAAATTCATCATACTCGCGAGACATGACTGAAACAAAAAAAAAACAGCATTTATAAGTACCAAATTAAGTGACAGATTCTACTAATAGTGAGCAATTAAGCATGCATTGTCTCATGTGACTGACATATGTGTACATTTTAAGTACTAACTTTAAGCCAATCATACAAGTATACATTTTAAGTACATACAAGTATACTAACTTTAAGTACTAACTTTAAGCCAATCAGACAAGTATACATTTCACTGGACTTTCCTGAGGTAATGGTAACAAACTAATAGAGGCCTCAGACAAACTAGGCCCATTTAATAAATGTTGGACTTGGGCAGAATGTACAAAGTATGACATTAGGCACAAATGCACAATTATTTTATAGTCCATTACTTGGAGTTTAGTTTCCAAAAAAAAAAAAAAAACACACACACACACACAAAAACTAAATTTGAACAAAAAAAAAATCCTCATATCATACTTCCCACAAACAATTCTTGGATTAAATTGGGATTTGGGACATAAATACACAACATAACACTAACTAAAACTACATGTTACATTGAATTATAATATATGCTTTTTTTTATACAAGTATCATATAGTATAAACCATAAAACCCCCATCAAATTCATATACTCAATATCATGATCATATACACAGAAAAATAAAATTTCACAAAAAAAAAGCACAAAATAACGAAATATACATTGCAGAACAATTAATGAACAAAAGATCGAAACTTAGAATAAGAATAAAAAAATACCTTATACCGTGAGTAGAATATGACAGATCTACAAAAAAAAAGAAAAAAAAAATTAAAACTTCAAAAAAAAAAGCACAAATTAATTAATTATACATAGCAAAAGAAAAAAGAAAAAATACCTTATACGGTTATACACTTATACCGTGAGTATAGTATGACAGATCTACAAAAAAAAGAAAAAAAAAATTAAAACTTCAAAAAAAAAAGCACAAATTAATTAATTATACATAGCAAAAGAAAAAAAAAACCTTATACGGTTATACCGTGAGTAACTGAGTATAGTATGACAGATCTACAAAAAAAAAAAAAGAAAAAAAAAAGATAAAACTTCAAAAAAAAAGCACAAATTAATTAATTATACATAGCAAAAGAAAAAATACCTTATACGGTTATACCGTGACTCCGTGAGTATAGTATGACAGGTCTACAAAAACAAAAAAAAAGAAAAAAAAATTAAATCTTCAAAACAAAAAAAAGCACAAATTAATTAATTATACATTGCAAAAGAAAAAAGAAAAACTACCTTATACCGTGAGAGAATAAGACAGATCTACACAAAAAAAAAAAAAAAAAAAAAAAAATTAAAACTTCAAATAAAAAAACAAATTAATCAATTACATAAATTGCAAAAGAAAACAGAAAAAATACCTTACCGTTCGCCAATAAGGAGATTCAGATGCAGAGAGATGATGAAGAGGGAGATTCAGAGGTGTGAGAAAGTTAGGAGATTCAGAGGCGTTAGGAGAGAGAGAGAGAGATGGATAGGAGCAAGTTAGGAGAGAGAGAGAGCCGTTTAGATTATGATAAAATGATCAAATGAGGCGTGCAGCGTGCTACTGCTGTTGTTAGGTTTAGGTTAGGTTAAAACTTCTTCCCCTAATCTAACCGTCCATTTCAAATCTCAATATCCCACCGTTCATTTCAATTTTTTTTTTTTTTGGTATTAATTAAGGATCTAGAATCTTCATACATCCAACGGTCTTGTTTTGTTTTGTTCTTATCGAGGTCTTTTTGACCGTTTATTATTATTTTATTTAATTTTTTTTTTTGATACTACCGTTCATTTTTTTAAACATATTAAATATTATTGTTAATTATTTATTTTTATTATTATTATTTTGAATTTTTGACTTTTGAGGTTTTATTATTATTATTATTATTATTTTTATTATTATTGTTATTAATAATGTTATTTTTATTAATATTGTTATTTTTATTATTATTGTTATTATTATTATTATTGTTAGTATAATTTTTTGTTAATATTATTATTATTACAATACTACTACTATTAATCTATTATTACTGTAAGTAATTTATTACTTATAAATTGTAAGAAACGCAAATGTTTCAAAATTGAAATTGATTCATTACGAGTTTACGACATAGTTAATGTACATCAATATCTATCATCTCTATATGTATATAATTAATCAACTATATATTAATATATATGATCGGTTTAGGGTTTAGGGTTTTAAGTTTTTGGGTGGTTAGATTTTACATCATGCATCAAATCATCCTAATGTAGTAAGTTTTTTTGGGTCCGATGTCTGAATGAGTTTAGTTTAGAGCATTACAAAAGATTTCGACAATGAACGAATGATTTTTTGTACAGATGCTGTTATCTTTCATGTTTAACCGTTAACTAAACAATAGCCGAAACTATTCTCAATGTACGTAGCATGTCTGTTGCCATGAAAAATATATTTAATTTGATATTGATCCGACCATACTAGTTAGTTTGCTATTATATACATTTAATTTGGCAATACTGTTAGTAGATTTGATATACCGCACGCTATCAAGTTGACTGCGAATAGAATCTAAATTATCTAATGTATGTCATTGTGGTTCGACCTACTTGATCAAACTCATAATTAAACTGAACATCCTCTTTAAGTTTAACCGGTAAACATAAATCATTATATATGTGAGTCTGTGACTTTAAATGTAATAAACTAATTAATAAGACTAGTAACTAATAAGTAATAAACTAATAATTAATAAAGTAATGAAATCTAACCATTGTTTTTCATGGGCATTCAATTTAATTGTTATGTATTTGACTATTTGTACATTAGTATTGCATAATGATTTCATCACCACTTTAGTGATTTTGTGATTTCGTCCATTTAACTTATCAAGTTGTTTGAGTTAGTAATCTAAATAAAGTAACAAACTAAATAAGTAAATAACTAATCCATTTAATCTCGTTTAACTTATAAATTATAAGTGCAAAGTTTGGAAATTGAAATTGATTCAATACGACATTGTTAATGTATATCAGTATATGTATTATGTATATGAGTATATCATATGGTACGAATGTACGATTGGTATCATACTATCATTGTCTCGTTGAATCGTTGGTATCATGGTATGTACGTATAACGGTATAAACCGTATAATCGATAAACATATATGATTATTAAAACTTAAAAGTTTAAAACACTTGTTGATCGATCTAATTGAATACTTGTACATTCTTAATTATCAATTTATCGTATTCTAAGTATCAACTCATTAAATCATGGTCATGACGCGATCTTTAAAACAATCATGAATTCATGACCCAGACCGCTTATAAACCGAACCGGCATGATCCAAACCGTTCATAAACCGAACCAATTGGATTGTGTAAACCCTCCACTAAACCGGCCCATTTCAAACTGAACCGACATGATTCGCACCGTTTATAAACCGAACCGATATTGACCTGGGTAAACCCGCCCATAAACCGACCCATTTCAAACCAAACCGATTTGATCCAAACCGTTTGTAAACCGAACTGACATTGACCCGGGTAAACCCGCCGCCTAAACCGACCCGTATCAAACCGAACCGACATGATCCGAATCGTTTATAAACCGATCCGCTTATGACCCAAACCGAATTTAAACCGCAAAGAAATAAACCGAAACCAAACCGAGCCGTGACTAACCCAAACCGAACCAAACCGATCCGATAGCTAAACTAAACCGTTTCAATCCGAAACGAAACCGACTCAGACCGAGGTCAAACCGAACCGCCAGACCGAAGTCCCACCCCTAGTTGTGCATGCATGCAAGGAACTTTGGAAGGTCATATCATACAATAGTTGGAAAGTTACAATGAATGGTACAAATTACAACACTATATTTCTTAGAATACTACTATCATGTTCAAGGGCTCAAGGCCATGCTCCTATAACTTTCACCATTACTATATATATCCTATAATTCAATGGTGCATATAATTTTTACTTTAATTTACTCATAATAAAGACACACATATAAACCAAAAGAGATTTTAATTGATAATGTAGGAGCATCTTTTTAATTTTTTGGGCATATCCAGTTATCCACATGCTACATTAGGTTTCTGGCGGTAGCACTTAAGAAATGGTGCACGTAATCTCATTTGTTATTATGAATTGATTCTATGAGCAATATTGATCACATTACATTCCTTTGAATCTTTGATGGGAAGTTGGGAACATATATATACATGTTGGATTGTTTAAATATCTTGTTGTTTAAAAGCATATGGTAATTGATAATTTTATTCTTGTAATGCTGTAATTTCCTATGAAAAAAATCTTACTACCTCCGTTTCATATTATTTACAACGATTTAACATAAAGTAGAAATAAAAAAATGTCTAATCGTTGCAAATAATAAGAAACGGTAGTACGGAGTAATATGTAGGATATATTTGTTATTTTTTTTGTTAATTAATGTGGAATTAATGGATAGGAGGGAGATTATCAGCCTCTGCCTGCCTTTCATGGCCCTACCCTTCTTTTTGAAATTGCTATTCAAACACAATATTACAATAGTGAATTGGTTAACTAATAATTGCACAACAAAATTAGTTAGACACTTAGACCCAATCACATAACAAAAGTTTAAAATTAAAGGCCTTGTTATGCAATAGTAAAACATTAACAATGTTAATAATTACTCCGTGTTACACTTAACATTCTCATTTTTTCTCACAACTACTATAATTTACATATCACGATCATGTTCGAGCTTCTAGTAAATACATACGCTTACATTGTTGCATGAAACAACCTTCAACTCGAAAGGTTAAGGGTTCACTTGACATAGCTGCGGTTTTCTTTTTTTGGTTTTTTGTTTTTTAAAAGTATATGATATATGCCCCATAATGAATAAAAAACTTATTAAAATCATGATAATTTTAAAAACTGATAACAAAAAAGTGGAAATACCTTTTTCTTATTTCCTTTTTATGGTTTTTGGTTTTAAAAAAAAGAAACTGAAAACAAAAAATGATGTCAAACAAGCCCTAAGCTACTAATGAATTGGCTACATAAGTAGGCTTTGTCCTTTTGAGTAGTTCTGCTCTGCTCTACCGAGCCCTTCTCTGCTTTGTAGTGTGTTACAAGCTCTGCACTGATCTACTCTTTCCAGAAGCTCAAAAGAATAGGATTGTACTCTTAAGATCTAAGCTTAGCTTGAAGAAATGATAACTCACTCAATTCATTTGAATGATTAAGCTGCAAATTAATTTGAATATTCTACGCACGCCTAAATCAATTACAAATAAAAAAGCATGGGATTTAACAACCCAATTAAACACAATGATACTGCATGTTGTTTCTTCATTCTACTTGTACATTTATACATGAAAAATCATCCTGTGCCAACCATATATTGCTATTTGCGTGACTACTACACAAACGATTATTGGATTTCTTGCTGCTTCCTTGATCAATCCATCAAAAGTGTTTGGACAAGGTGGACCCTTTTCTTTTTCTATAATTTCATCATGTTTCTTTGCAAACTGCGTCAATTGCGGAAGTTGTTCACTATCAGAATTCTATGTTTACTTGTACATATCATTTCTCTTCTGCCTTGTCTTACCCCTCTTGTACTACATATACACAACTACTACTTCATTTCGCTTGTTTTTAGTCCACTATTTTTGGGACTTTCTTTTATATGGAAAACAATTTAGGGTTTTAATTTGCGTACTGATTTTAAACAAGTAAATTATTCTATGCATACTAAAAAGTATTTAATGATGTTATTATCGACTTCATATAAATTTTTAATAAGTCGATAAAAGTTTAAAAATTAAGTTATGAACGAATCTAAGAAAAATTTGTTATTGAAAAATACGAAAACTTTACAAGTGATTTACCGTTAAAGTTTTACATGAAACGACTCAAACATTACACACGGAGTACTAATTAGAAACAAGAAGATTACTAAAAATAACAAAACGACATTTCTACCCTCGATTCCGCCATAATATCATAGAGCACCGCCATACATAGTCAACCTCTAGAACTAAGCAACCACCATTATGAAACTCAATAAATCGGGATCATACAATTAAGAATATTCTAAACATTTAATTAATCTCAAGATCTAAACCTCTTAATTAATTAATGACAGTCAAATTAGCTTATATATTAGCACATGAAATACAATTCATACTAAAACTAGCAATTAATTAACTTAATTAATAAAGCGAACTGATGAACTGGTTAGTAAATTACTCTGATGACTGACAAAATAGGCCATCCCAAATCTCAGTAAAAGCTCGTACAATAGCTTCATGATGACGTTCCGAATTAAGTGACAGAAAACAACGTAAAAGTTCCTCCAATTCTTTTTCCTCGAACATCTGTTTTTCCACCACCATTTCTATCATTGATCTCTTGAAATCATCCAATGGATCTTCGGATCTCTTTACGATTGCGAAACTCTCTCTTACTTTACCGTCAACCACCGCCTTACACGGCGTCATTTTTCTCATAAACGCCGATAATCTCGCCGGCGCCGGTAACTCAAACGACGATCTCGGATTTTTCGTTTTGTTTTTGTTTTCTCTCTCCTTTGACTTTTTGTTGACTTTAGGGCTGGTGGAGTCGGTGGAGACGAGGGTTTCTGTTTCTCTCTCATCTTGATTATCGTCGCTGAAGATTCCGCTGTCGGAGGAAGTACTGATTCGAACGTTCTGGAAGTTTCGTCTTCGTCGTCGGGTTTTTCTTCCGGGTCGGGTTTTGGTTTTTGGAGGGAGGAATACGACGTCGTTTTCGTGATCAGTGTCGGAGGCAGCGGAGTTGTAGATTTTACGACGAGGAGGGGTAGAATCGTAATTATGATATTCTTGGGGGAGTTTAGTGATGACGTGCCAATGATGGGAAGGGAGTTTAAGTTTTGGGGATGATTCGGTGTTGGAGGGTTCAGGGGAAGGGTGTGATCTTAAACAACCGCGACGAGCCGATGAAATGGCGGATGACACGTGGCGTTTAATGGAGGAGCGTGATGAAGACGGAGTTGAAGTAAGGTTAATTTGTTTGTTAAGGGTGGTTGCGGTTGCGGCGGTGGAGGTGGAAGAAGAGTGGTGGAGGAATGAAGGCACAGGATTTGATGGGAAGGTGGAAGGGTGTTTAGAACGGCAGGATTGGAAGGTGGGGATTACTCGAGATACTCGGAATTTCATGAAGTTTTTTCTCATTTTACTCTTTTGGTTTTAACTATGGGAGAATATGAATATTTGAGGAGTGTATAGTTTTTATAAGAGTAGTGTGATGTTTATATCATTATATATGGATCATGCAAAATTGATGAATATAATAATTCATAGTCAACAGTGTGTGTTTGTGTGTATTCTAAGGATAAGACTGTAATTATACTTTTTGAGTTTTTTGTTGTGTAAAATCATAGGGAGTCATTGATATGACCACTCCTCAATCATACAAATTTGTTCATTATCATTGTCGTTAATTACATAAAAGTAGAGAATGTCACAAAACTCACAAAATAGACTACAATAATTTGTTTCAATGTAAAAATTAAACTACAAGAATGTCACAAAACTCACAAAATAGACTACAATTTACTAGCATCTAGGTAAAAATTATTTATGTTCTAAAAAAAACGGTAAAATTATTTATGAGAAGGTAATAAAGAGAGAAAATAAAGTTATATGTGATGAGAAGGGAGATAAAAAGAGAAATGACCTTGAAAAATAAAAAGAAAACTTTTGTTGTAAATAATCTATAATATCCATTTATGGTAAATGTTGCAAATAAATTAAAATGGATATAGTATACTACCTCCCTTACATATTATTTGCAACGATAGATTTGACATAAAAGTAGAGAGGAAAAATGTCTAATTGTTGCAAATAATATTTAAGAGAGGTAGTATGAAATATGGAGTACGAAGTATGACTTCACATGATACTACCTCCGTTACAGGTTATGTGCAACGATTAGACATTTTCCCTCTTTGTTTTATGTCAAATCGTTGCACATAATCTGTAACGGAAGTAGTATGTAAATGAAGGAGTACGTCTCAAATAGTAGCAGTTCTTATATTTTATTTGAACTCTTCATATTATTACTTAAAATGATCTTGTTGAATCCATAACTCTAACAAAATGAATGGGACGATTGATCATGATTTTTTTTTTTATTTTTTTTTTCCCATAAAATAGCTCATTCGAAAATCTAATTGTATCCATCATGGAGACACGATTTAGCCAGTATTTGAATCCGAGTAACATAAGTTACAAAAGTATTATTCCTTCTCTTGAAAGCAATAAACATGCAAAACTAGTCTTACGGTAAATAAATGATCTATGAAATCCTTATCATAGACGACATTACCTTTTTAATTTCTTTATACAAAAGTTGAGCGGTTTAATTTGTTTCTAACACCACCAATTAAATATACATATATACTATATGTGCATAGTTTGAAGTGTATCCTTCATTTGCTCATTTTTAATTGCAACAATTTGATTAAAAATTGTACTCCTTACTCCATAAGACCTTTTTAAACAAATTTTTACAGCTAAAGTTAACGGAGAAAGCAGTACATACAGAATAACACACAATTAAGTACGTTATCTCGGAATGTTATTTGTGTCAAATCGATTACATCAATGATCATGAAGTCATGAACTTATCTTTGAACTATAGGACTCTGGAAGCCTACATAATGGAGATATGGTGTCGCCAAGAAAAATGGTTTATAAGTAGAGCATGCAGTAACATGGTTACAAAAAAACTAAGTGTAGTAACACTTGGCTAACGAAGCATGCATGTCAAAACCTAAATAAAGAAGAAAGGAGCACATTATTATTTCACGATTTCAAGACCTTAGCTTTAGCTTGTAGACTTTGACAAAGAAAACAATACTCCGTATTATTTTGTGTCGTGAGATCATTATATTGCGCATGTAATTGTCAATTGCAGAGTGCTCGAGGTGTCTACATATATTTTTACTGGCTCCAAATAAAAATATTAGGCATCCGGCATAGACCATAGTCCGTCCAAAATTAAAAACGGTCCGATACTGCTGAGGCAAATCGGCATAGACCAGTAAACCAACTTTTGGATCGTGTTGTGTCGTATCGTGTTCTTTTTTGTGTCGGAAATTAAATGGGTTGGGAAAGATCAACGCTAATCCGACTCGTTTAATAAACGTGTCGTGTCGTGTTGACCCAATTATTAATCGTGTTGAAAACCCTTAATACTAACCCGCTTCGTGTTCGGTTCGTGTTGTGTTGTGTTGTCGTAGTGTATCAGTTTTTACCAGCACTAGATTTAACACATTAGTCCGCTAGTGCAAATACTACGGAGTACTTGGTGTAATAATATCATTTTTGTATAGAAAAATGTGTTCTATTACACCAACATCTCCCGCACACCGAATTCACAGACAAGACTCTTTAAGAATATGAAAAAGGTAGGAGAATCTTCACCCCTAAATTGCTCCTAATAGAAATTGATCCTAACAATGTATCATACGGAGTATAAACTTACATCAAGTATCTTTACATACTTATACTTTGTATCAGTTATAAACTACATACAAAGTTTATTAAAAAATTAGAAGTCAAATGTGACAATATTCTTGGGACAAAGAAGGTTTCTTTATCATATAGTTCTTGACTTCTTCACATCATCTTATTATAATCGAATTAATGGCCAAAGCTGAATGATTTGTCGTGTACATAGTATATAGGCCAGGGGGCAACCCGAGACATAAAATAACCTGGAAATCTTCTTCACTACTATAGCCAATTAGGCATCCATTTTTTTTATTAGGAATACTTGAAAAACCATTAGAGCAACTGAGCAATAATATGATGCCTACCAAAGATTATTTATCTTGAACCTAACTATTTCGTCCAATACAACATATACAAACACAATCCTGCAGCTAACAGAGTACTCAAAACTACTGAAGTATTAATAATCGACGGAAATTTTCTAGAAGTATACTTGTGAAATACAAACAAAATCTGCTGCTAAGTGGAATCAGGAAGCATTCAAGGCAGCTTCTTAAACGAACAGACCAGAAGAGAGGTTTTCAGTTCTGCATCATCTGCTAGCTCTCGAACTGAAGCTTTTAAGAATGACTTGTCTTCAGGATACTATAAAGAATGTACTGCAGTTCACTCACCTTCCACAAAATCAACCAGTCTTCCACAAACCCACTTTTTAGTCACTGGTTTTTCTGGAACTGGAGGTACCTCATCTTCATTATTTTGCAGCTTTGCTCCATGGTGGTGCGAAGAGCTCCCATTCAATTTGGTAGCACCATTTAGTTCATGCTCATGCTGTTGATCAATGAGCTCCCTTAATTCTGATTTCCCTATAAAACTCCCTATATCGAGTTCAGAAAATCCATACCCACCGAGTTGTCTAGGAAATTGGTGATTCGTGTCCATTTCTTCCAGCATAGGCATCCTATAGACACCAATATCTGGATTTTGACCATCAATATTTTGCGTAAACCCAGTGTCGGTGCCATTCACTCCTCCGTGGTGTCCTTGATCATTGTCTTCTGTGAAAGGGTTTTCATCCTTCTCAACACTATTCTGTGTCCCCAAACTAAGATCATCTTCAGAATTAGGCTCTTGTTTCTTTATTGATTCAATAGATTGGGTAGCTTCAGCAATAAGCTTTCTTGCCTCAATAAGGGAAGCTCGAGCAACAGGGCTTTTCGTTGCAGCAATCTCAAGGGACTTTGCAGCTTTCTCTGCTTCTGCTATTAAGAGCCTGTTTTAACAGTATAACTCATTAAATACAAGAACACAGGGGAAATAAAACACATTTACAAACAAGGGACATGGAAACTTAAAAAGTGCAAGGCTCACTTTGCTTGTTCTAAGGCTTCGTTTTTCTTTGCCTCAGATGCCATCCTCTGTGCCCTGATGTTCTTCAACATTTCCAGCTTGGAATTCGCTAAAGGGTCTTTAAACTTCGGAGCAGCCCTCTTCTTCAACTTGGGCTTTTGAATCTTTACCTTAGATTCTGCTGTGGCAGAGCTTTCTGCACCGCTGAGCTTTTTCTTAGGAGTACTCGGGGATTGTGATTCATCACTTGATTTTCTCCTTACCTTTCTCTCAGCCCCCTCTGGTATATTATGATATTTAGCCAAGCCTGAAGTCACCCTTGAACGATATTCCTTTAAAGAAGGTTTAAAAAAAATATTAGCCAAGGATTAAAGAATGCAGGCAAAACAGAAAGGAAATAACTCAACAAGTGCTCATCACTACCACACAACTTGGTCTCATTGGAAATTAATGGTCAGGGTACAAGGCCACAATCAGATATAGAACGTTAATAAAAATTTGAAGTGCTTGAGCCTGGCCATTAGTAAGCTCTTAGGTTACATGTAGATCACACAGTCACACCAGTCTTGTTATTTGGAAAACTTTTGGCTTTTGCTAAGCTCAATGCACCTACTCAGTGATTGAAGTTATAGGAATTGGAAAAATGAAAACAAAAAAACAGCTTAAGTCTGGTAACCATTGGAGGGTTTTTCAGAAAATATCTACCAATTTGGCAACAACTCCATATATTCAACGACACAAACAAGCTAATAGATCCCTTCCCAACTGCACGAGTAAAGATCCCTTCCTAACTGCATGAGTAAAGCTGCATACATCTGATTAACTGTACACTACCCAAGGGCCAGCTAGAGTCTCATAAGTAGCACCGAGAGTGATGGAATGATATGATTAAAGCACCCAAGATAAAGGTTCAAAATTAAAAATATATTTTTCTAGGAGAATGCATATATAGCGTGGAGCCGTGGAATAGATCAATTATCAAAAATGTAACTTCCTTTGTTTTGTCAGGGAAAATGTTTTCCATCATTGAGAGTGAAATGTTCACATTTGGGGAAATTGTTTTCCAATCCTGCCCGAACCAAACAAAGTAAAATGGGGGGGGGGGGGGAAGGGAAAATCATTGTCCATGAAAACATTTTACATCAAACCAAACACACCCTTAAAAGGACAGGGAAAAAAACGAAATCATAAAACTCTCCCATATACAAACCCCCTGTTCCGGTGTTCCCCACTCCCATTTTCATCATCCGCATTGCAATCCCCCCCACCAATGAATCTATGATGCAGTCGTCAACCCATCCACTGATTCTGCCTTACATCCTACTTTAAAATATGAACAATAATCCAAAACAAAGCAAATAAAGGATCGCAAAAATATGCTCAGATTATGAATACAAAAGCAAGAAACATATAAATCCATGCATCATACAGTTCCAATGACCAATTTTAATAGTCAAAGGACTTTAGAGAGCCTCATAAACAAATGCTGATTCAATCTTTGCCACTAAACAGGGCCAACAACCTTGACTATAACTTATTTTACCAGCAACTTATTGCTTCAATCTTCTAGAAAGGTAGATTACTCAACACTCTTTCGCTTCATCTAAGACCCAACAGGCCACAAGGCCCATAACTCAGAACTTCAGGACAAGGAAGCAACACTTATACTAAAACTACATAATTTAAACAAGAACTACATTCCTTACTTGTAAACCTGACAATAAAAGAGCCACATATTTTTGTTTGAAAAAATCGAGTAAAAAAGTACTTTTATAGCTTTATGTATTAGGATTAAATCTTACAGGATCAGCCCACAAAGCAGCAATGGCCTCAGCAATTTTTCTCCGTTGATCGAGAGATTTGGGTGCTCTCCTGCTACCCTTGGGTCTAGGCGCTTTCTTCCTTTGCTGAATGCTATCCAACCATTCCTGCTGCAATTGCTCATTCATGACTTTGTAGGAATC